CGGCTCCTCGGCGTTCCGGGCGTCCTTGGGCGACTTTGCGATCCATCTTTCTTCGTCGGTGTTCCAGGCACAGGCGCCAATGTGGATTTGGGCTTGAAAGTCGTGGATGGGTTGTTCTTCGAGCGCGATTCGACTGAAAGAGGTGCTTTGTACTTCTTGTGCGTCGAATTCAGAAGAATTGGAGTATTGACTCGAGAAAGGCGAGCATTGAGGGAATCGGCAGAGGATGAGTTATTGATTGTTGTAGAAGTTGTTGATACATTGGACTGGGCGGACAGAGGGCGCTTGGGTGTAAACGGAGCTGGTCGAACTGCTCTCGACGCGGAAGGGGTGGAGGACACACTGCTATTGCTGCGACCGCTGAAAGACATCGTCGGAGCGCGAGCGAAAATTTGCGTCAATGATGCTGTTGCTGGCAGCTGGGGTGCTGAAGGTGTTCTTGAGGCCGTTCTTGAGGTCTTCGTCGTCGTTCACTCCAACTTGAACGTTTGAACCGTGGTAAACTGCTCGAATCGGAATCCAGGGGTACGCGACTTGTCACGTGTTCGTGTTTCTCGGTCATCAATTTGAACTCATCTTGAACTCGAACAGTGTTCCGTTGGAAGCACCATGGCCAGAAATATTATCGACATCAAGCCACGCCGCGTGCAAGAGTGGCGAACTGTTTTTAACCAAAAAAATTTCAACGGTGTTTTCACCTCCCTCTTGCTCAGCAATTTCTGCCTAAAAATAGCTGTAAAAGTTGAGCGTGGCTTCATGCCTCTCGATATCACACCGCAGCCACTGGCGTCCGCGCCCGACAAAATATATCCCCTGGTTAGTAACATTGCGTCTTTGTCGTCATCGGCAATCTGTCTCCACACTCGTCCGGAGAGTGCTACAGATCTTGTTGTCAAATTTCAAGTCTGGCTCTACGTCTCGACACGGACAAGTCAGGACTCAGCACAATATTCGGGTCAACTTCGCTGAGCGAGAAAAATGGGAATGCCATATTCTTAACTGTTACAAGCATTCTAAATAGTAGCGACTGCATGAGTTGTTATTCCGAGTAGGTTAATAACAAAGTTAGAACTGATCAATGAAACTGGCACTCCTACACAACTCCTACCAAACTCCTACAACCGCAAGACCTCTTCTTTGCACTGCCTGATATAGAGCGCCTGACCATGCGAGGCCAATAGCTTTTAGCTGATTAGTATATCCATTCTCAAACACGACCCAGAGACTCGCCTTAGAGCTATATTTCCTCATGAGAACCTTGGACAAGTCAGGTTTAATAGCGCCATACACCGCGCGCGCAACTCCTTCCTCAGAGAAACCAAGCATTTTAACGCAGGTGACATGATGGAAGGCGACGATGTAAGACGCGGTCATCAGCGCGGTGCTTTTGAGTGCATCGAGCCCGCGGAACGCCTCTTGACATTGCTGAATATAAAATGCACCTCTATGAGATGCCAATGGCTGCATTCGTTCTCGATTAGTACCATGCTCACCAATACGTACTGAAGCTTACATCAGAAAGTCGTTTATCTATGAGGATCTTTGCCCATTCCAAAGAGATCGCGTCGTATAATGCTCGCGCAGCTTCCATCGTAGAGAGGCCAAACATTCTAACGCAATCATTTTGGCGAGTCGCAACAACGTAAGTCCCGGTTTCTGACAACAAAATAGGGTTTTCGAATAGAGGCAGCAGAAGGACCTCTTCCTTGCATGGCCGGATCCAACGATCATCGCCATGAGAGAGCAGGTCCTTTGAATTATGAGTGACATAATATAAGTAACAAGGACTTTATAATATAATCGGAATAACATACTTTATGCTGTCGTCGATCTATAAGTATCCTAGACACTATATTTGAGATAGCATTAAAAACCGCCCGAGCAGGTCCCTCTTTTGAGAAGCCAATCATCTTGACGCAATCAACATTGTGGAAAGCGACCACATAAGAAGCGTACTGCAACGGCGTGTTGCCATTGAAGGCGTCCATATGCGAAATCCTATCCCGGCAAAGCTTGACGGACGGGTCCCATCCGGAGGACGCCAACACCTTGTCCGGCTCGTAAATGACTTCACAAGTTCAAGTTTCAAGCCACAGTCGCACCTCAAAACGTTGTCTATCAAACGCAATCTTGGCGTATTCCTCCGAGACTGCATCGTACATTGCTCGAGCCGATTCTGCAGTGCATAAACCGATCATTCGGATAGTACCGTTTTGGTGGAAAGCCACCATATATGGGGCGTGCTTTCCTAGAGACTCCACCGCAGGAAAAAATTCCGAGTCCAAGTCATTTGCAGGAGCTAGTCCAGTGGCAGGGTCGGCACCATCCTCGACTATACTTCCGGCGGTCGTCGGCGTGGTGGAATCGACGATAGTAAAGACCTCGGTCACAACGTGAAAGTGATTGGCAGCCATGAAGCAATTTTGAGGAGGACTAAAGGAGGCCAAAAGTTGTCAAAGAGCTTATGCGGTGGGAATCCATTTATACCATTTGTAACTGTTATCAATAGATCGTCTGCGGTGATAGTGACGATAACGAACTGCAAACTGATTTAGGTATGCCCTATACATAAGTCTCTGTATTTGCACCACACATCCTATCCCTTAAAGACCTTCTGTGATTCCAATGAGGCAGATCACTTTCACAAGAAGGGAAGAACCAACAGCCAGCCTGTTATACTTGTACATGCTGTATCGCATGCAACGGATGATTGTACAGCAACTGACTTGCCAGGGCAGTGAGGACGGTGAGTCGACAAATGAGCGACTTTATGAGATATGTCAACGGAACCGATAGACAAAGGCTTTTCGCTTCAAATCGATAACATTTGACCAGAGCTTTTGAAGAGGAGTGGCAGAGCAAAGATAACAACAGACTTCGCTTTCAGTGACAGGCGTGAGTTAGACGCCATTTTCGTGTGATTCAAGTGTGTTTTATAATTGCGCGTTCTTGGTCTACCGCGATGCTTTGCGAGGTTCTAATAAACCTTTAAGCAGTTCTAGAGAGTGTATCTTTCGAGTTATGTGAGGGAATTGTGAGAAGTGCTAAGCGAAAAGAGTGAAGGTTGTTGGAAGGTTGTGGATAGAAATTTAGCTGTATGGACCGCCTTCCCCCGGACCGGCAGCAGATCCGTAACGCGTCATAATTCCTTTATTTAGATTACTTCAATGCCTCAAGTTAGGGGCTTCGCAATTGCTGGAGGCGAATAATACCAAAATAATACTGCCCTTGGTACAAATAAGTACATGAAGTTGTCGGTTTGAAAATTTACCGTAAAAATCAGACAGAAACCTTCACGACGACCTTTTCCCCACTGATTTTGTTCTCTCTCAAGAGTTCAAGCCCTGTTCCAACTTGTTCTTTGAGACTCCCCTTGTCCATCAAGCGCACACGAGCGGGCTTGATATGGCCAGCTTCCAGCAGGGCGGGAAGAATCTGAGGCATCAATTTATCGCGCAACGTTGCATCCTTTTCAAAGATCAGCCAGAGGAATACATCGACAGTAAAGGATCTACTTACTTGTTGATAATTAAAAGTCCTAACGGGAATAATCTCTGTCCCTTTGGGAAAAGGTGTCTTGTCTTGGCGGATCTCCCAGTACATCTCCTGATCAAGACCGGTGGTCACAGATGCACCCTCTTTGATAGGAAGAAGGATAGCGAGCTTTCCTAAAGGACTCATAACCTTTCCCAGCTGTTGCAGAGTGGCTTCGGAGGTGACAGCGTCGATCGCGAGCAATACTTTCCCATCTCCACCTACAGCAGCTGTGATATCCTGGACAAGGGTGGGACTTCTGTAATCGAAGACGTCCGTCGCACCCAAAGAGCGTAAATAATCATGGTGCTTCGCAGAGGCAGTGGCAATAATTTTCCTATAGCCCGCAAGCTGAAGAAGTTGGACAGCGTAAATGCCTGCTGTAGAACCAGCGCCATAGACAAGAATGGGAGTTGTTGCTAGAGGAGGGGAGGCAGGAGCAGGGAAAGAAGAGGGAATTGGAAGGCCCAGCTGGTTGAAGATGGTGTAGAAAGCTGTTACGAAGTTATCTGGGAGAGTAGCGGCCTCCGCCAATGACAACGAATCTGGAATCTAACGAAAGCCAATGTTAAATCTTGCTCGTGATATATGCGTTTTCAGTGGACGGAATTACCTTCCCGACCACTGTCCTTGACAAAGTCACATACTCTTGCATGGCCTTGTTGCGCGATTCTCCAAAAGCGAACGAAGTAACCTAGCCAATGTTCAGCTTGAACTTCGATTATAGCGTTGAGGCTGCAAATACCCACCCTATCACCCACTTTCAGGTCATGAACGCCGGAGCCAAGCTGGCCACAGTTCCAGCAGCAGTGAAGCCAAGTGTCATAGGGTATGACTGGACATAAAGTCCTCGGTCCACAACATAAGTATCGAATGCAATCATGGCTGCATATTCAACCTTGATGAGAACCTCGCCTTCGACTGGTGGATGAGTGGGAACTTGGATAGCATCGAATTGGCCTTTAGCGGTTGCAGCAATTGCCGTGTGTGTAGACATTTTCAGATAGTCCAGGAGCTATAAGCTCGACAGCGAAGACGAGAGAGATAGGAAGGGATTCTGCCTGGGTTCCAGGAATTTTGGGAGTGATATTTATAAACGTTCGAGCTTGGTTCGAGCTGAACGATGACACCATCATCGAGCTTTGTAATTCATCATACATAGATAAACTCCCGCCGAGTTCTAGAATCGCAAAAAAGCCAATGATTGGACATAAGATATATGCTCAATAAGCATCGACGACTGCACAGTAAGCGTAGGCTGCATACCACATGGTAGACTCGTTACCAGCCGGAGAACATATAGGAGGAGGACATCGAGGGAATGGTCACCGGTCTAACCACATGACTTGTACGAATGAAAGAGTTGCTAATAAAAAATCAAAGAGAGAATGCAAACTCGAAGTTCCGCCAGGCCCGGCCCCTCTTTGTCAAGCGCGTATAACTTACAAGCCAAAAGATCAAAAGCTTGATGAGAGCGAGATTCGAACTCGCGCCCCGGAGGACCAGATAACCGTAGTGAACAGTCAGTGTTGAGCAGAAGATGCTCTAGTCCTTAGTCTGGCGCCTTAGACCGCTCGGCCATCTCACCATGTGTTTTTGGGCGCTTGGTGCTCCCTGCAGGCTGGGGAAAGGCCACATAATCTTCAAGCCGGTATGGAACTTGGTTCCACTCTAGGAAACTTCCTCGTACTAGAATTATTTTAGCCGGTATAGATTATTGTTCCTGCAGGTGATAATCAACAATTCTTTGTGCACTCACCGATCTTCAAAGCAGCTGGAATTAATTTCATCCGATGGGCGCTTAATGAATCCGAAGTAGATTTCATAATCGGAGTAGCAGATTTAGCTTTGAGTTCGCACAATCCTGTGTATTTAACCGTGCCTAAATTTCGTCGGTAATCTCCACGCAGAAGTGAGAGATGTCTTGTCTTTTTAAAATACTACACTTACTATATTCCAGGCTGGAGAGAAAGCATTTTGCAGTTCTTCAAGCTCGACATCGGACCAGCTAGCCTCCAGAGGTGGACATCAATCACTACCGAAAGACGCCGTGGATATTGAGAGCACCACGGAACACTTTCCGAAATTTGCGTCGCGGACTCGCTGACTGGTGCGAGATGCCGACAATTTCACGTATGTACATACCTGGATGTATGTATGACATGGTGACTGGTCGCGGCAGATTTTACATCGGATGCGTATGCTCAACGGCGGTTGATATTATTTTATAGCCTCCTGAAGATAGTCACATCTGAAAATTGAGGCGTTAATATTTTGGGGATGAGAGGAGCTTTAAAAAAGACGTGCATGAGAATTGGCCGCTCGCTGCCACTACTGATCTGCCACAGTGGACACGAATAGGGCAAGTGGGCGCTGATTGACTTTTCTGTGGAGTTTTCAGTTCGCTTATTTCTGTCGTGGAATGGTGTGAAGAATGTTGAATGCGAAATGCGCAGCCACCGAGCTCCGAGGCCACTTTACTCGGTCATTGTGAGCTGTACATGTAATAACGCTGCGTATCAGCGAGTCGAGAGAAAATTCGATAGATGGGCTGCAGACTAACCATAACTATGCCATCACATGCAGTTTGAAAATTTGAACGGCTGTCCAATATCCGCCCATCCATGTACATCAGCGACGATGGTGTCAAGGTGGCAGGCCAGGCCGAACACATTCGGCCTGTTACATACCACATAGAGCGAAAATCAACGCTGGTAGTTGCACAAGACCTTGTCGAAATTCGCAAAATCGATGAAGAGATTGCCGAACGCATAAACTCTAGAAGCAAAGAGAGACAACGAAAGGTAATGTTCATGTTAGCCTGGAACTCGTTCGGCGAGAACGACTCGGAATGCGCACCTCTGTCCTTCCCTTAGTTGACTCTAATCTTGCTCGAAAACATAACTGGAATGGTGGGTAGACCGAAGGCTGGTTCAATACCTGGGAAAATATGAGCGCAACAGGGCGCCGAGCTGTGAAGAGGCATGTTGGGGCTATCAACGATCAACGGATGACGGGGCTGATGGGCGCCGCCACAAGCATCCTTGCCAGTGGACTTAAGCCTCCACATCCCGTTGCCTCTTATCTTGCTCCCATTCATCCCTATAATCGCATATATCCCTTCCCAGAGATTCTCAATACGCTGGAGCCTGGCTGTGGCGTCAACCACCCGGAGGACCCCAAATCCGGCCCCTTGGCCATTTAATATAACGGAAACCGGATCTGATCGTGTGCCCGGCCCTTGTTTTTTCGGTCCCCGTATTTTTTCCACACTTTCCCAACAACATTCCGCGCCGAATTTCAACAAAAAATCCTTTTTCCAAGTGGAGAAAGACAAGAAAGGGCGAGATCTTCATTATTTGCCCACAAAATACCGCGAAATATCCAATACCATGTCTGTGGAGGGGGAGCGCTTGCACACTCCTTTTTCACAATCAACTCCCCCACGGAATCCTTCTCACCTTGAAACTCCAAACTCAAGACCTGGCAGGGGCAGAGCTATACCCAACTCTCAACCGCTAGGCTGCATTCAAGCCCGCCATCACCCATACCCTGCTCTATGCCAGTACGAACAATCTCTCGCGGGCCAAACTCTCATTCTTGTCAGGAATCCGCCTAGGGAACGATTAGCAGCATCCCGCTCATCTGCAGAGCACGACGAGCAGCCTGCTTTACTGGTAAGTCCTTGCTACTTACATGGTGCACCAATATTTGTCGCACAGCGAGATTGTTCCGTGGTTATTTTGGTCGCGGAAGGTCTATGATATGCCTAGAGACGCGTAGGCAGTAGGCGTAGGCATGAAACGCAGGATAACGACCTGACATGGCGTCATCCTGTCTGTTGTTCTGCCCTGATTTCATCGTTAATGTTTTGCCCGTTCTGCTCGGGAATATGTACCCCATCATATCTCCCTTTTACTCCCATATGCTTCATCAATTGAACACACGCTCACCCGTGTTTTTCGACTTACATAGGCTCGCGTTGCAGGAAAATCGCCGCCAGATTTTGGACAACAATACCACGCCCACTCGGATAACTCTCCCACCCAATCGACGCCAGTCCCTCGTCGACCGTAGGACTCTACGCTGATCTATTACATTATCACTACGACCAGCGGTACACTACCCAAAATTTCTTCCACGCTCCTTCCAAATCTCAAGGTGGCCTTCAATCTACAACGGACATGTTGAAGAAACGGCGAACTTCCATACAAGCCATTTTGGTACCTTCATTCCTTCAAGGGACGCTCTCTCCAGCCACCTCACCCCCTCCCAGTCCTACCGCACTCACATCCAAATGCGCGCCCATTCAGCGGCGGCACCCACATCTCCCAGCGCGTCTAATTCCACATTGGTATCTACTGCTGGGCCAGTTTCATCCCAACCAGGAGTCGATAAAAGAGCTAAAAAGAGGAGCTTGACTTTCAGCTCAGCGCGCACCTCTCCTCCCCCTGATTTTCTCCTAGACGATGACCCATTTGCGAATCTAACTTCCGCCCCATCAGAAAGGACAACTCCCGCCGAAACGATACCGACTCCATCTATTCCCCATTCACCCTTAAATTCAAAGGTTTCCGTGCCTGTAATTACCTCTCCTCCGTCTATTCCATCGACACGGACACGTCCCGCACATCAACGCCCAGCATTTAAGAGTCGTCCGAGTTTGCCATCTCTTGACACGCTTGCGCGCATGAACGTTGTGCTTACGAAGAAGGTATGTTTCCCTCCGATCATGACGCGTCTTGGGCGTCTGCGCGTTCTAGGCGCGCTAACTTCTTATTCCTCTCTAGGTGCGCAAGGGAAGAGTGGGCGCTGGATTACCCTTCGAGCCTTGGGACAATCTTCCTTCAGATGACGACTTTCTGCCTCCCACACCTGGGCATTTGAGACAGAACACCAATCCTAGCAATTTCTTACCACCATTTGTATCCGATGGCCTCCTTCTCAAAACCTGGCATCACAGCCAATTTCTAATCCGCAGCCCCTCCTCCGAGTCAAATAATGGCTCTGGGTCTATAGCAGCCGATGTGGAGATGGTTGTCCCTACCGTCACAACTCCCAAACCACAACCAGCGTCGTCAACGTCACCCGCGATTCCCTCTTCGCCTGAAGATTAGTTGATAATGCCGTTTCTTACGATGAGGAACCAGCCACTCCTACTTATATACCTGCGGCAACCTCTTCATCCGACGTCACAGTTGATAACGCCAGTTTAGACGATGTGGATTCAGCGCCACCCACACCTGTTGGACTTGGCGACGCCACATCCTCCGTGGCAGCTAATGAAGCGCCAGAGGAAACCACTAGCCCTATTGAAGATGATGGATATGCTGCAGATTTCCTCGAACGATACCATCAATCAAGCGAAGACGGACACGATGCGTCGCCTATTACTGTGCCCACATCACTTTCAGTCGTTGATGTCCTGCCCGTTCTTCATGAGCTTGAGACAGTTCAGAGGAACTCGATAAGAGAAGGCCATAACTGCTGCAGCTATAGAACAAGTGGCCGTTCCAGTATCGGAGGAGTCAATATCGCATAATTGTGAGACCATCAAGATGAGGAGATGCAAGAGGAATAGAACCGATATCTTCGCCGCAAACCAATCATTCCTTGATCTAGGCCCTCCTAGTCGAGACGAAACAATCTTTACGCACTCAGGCTCTATGCTCTTTTCTTCGCCCCCTTCATCTTTCTCCCTCTCACGCTCATTATCATCTACCTCATCGCGTGTTTCTTCCGAATCTATGGGAATTGTGGAATACGCGGAGAATGGAGACGCAGGAGAGGTTGTCTTTGGATCAATCTCACCTCGAAAAGACCAGAAACACCGACGTTTGGTGAACCCAAGTCTATCTTCGCTAGAGCTTGATTTGGACGCGAGTTTAGGCTCGGAATCGGATCGGAACGAACAGGGAAATAGTACAAGCAGGAGCAGTAGCGGTCGCCCTAGCCTTTCTCGGACGCGGTCCTCCTCGGATTACAGCAGTGATGTCATTCGCTCGCCGTCGATGGAAGATTATGCTTTCTTTCCATATCGAAACCATCAATCCCCTGCTCTCCAACAATCGGCGGCTTCTTTCTCCCAGCAGTCTGAGCCAGTTATAGATGAGCTCGTTGAATCAGTCATCACCGACGGAGGACAACTGTTCGATGTCAAGGGTGAAGATGAGGCGTCGGGAGCATCATGGAACCATTCGCTTGGAGAATATCATTCCGGCCTGCTCGGCGAAGGCTTCGGATTCGGCTTCGATAAAGTTTTACCTGCGGCAGAAGACCTGGAAGTTAATAAGGCGGAGGCTGACGATGTGGAGAGTGAGAACCTCGTGCGGCACGAGTCCCAGCGTACCCAAATTTGCCGCGGACGCCTCAAAGGCTGCTACGGACGTCAACCTTTCTCCCTCTCCAGCATCTGACGATCAGCTTCAGCCTCCCAACGTACCCCAGCCTTTGATCGTCCAACAAGTCACCCCCCCACCCACGCCCAACTTTTCGCAAGCTCAGTTGTCGCAAGAAGAAATGCCACGGCTTGCACCCAGCAGTTCGCGTCCATCATCTGCCATAAAGACGACAGCCACCCCTGAGTTG